ATGAGCAAAGCAGAAGACATAACCTTTGTAAATGATTGCTGTTGTTTGCAGACAATTTTTGTTTGCATTTACGTTTAAAGATAGTAGGAAAAATGAAGTGCAGTGTAATATCCTGCGATAAGAAAGTGAAATTTAAATTTCCTTCTGATAGTGTGATAAAAAAAAAGTGGCTCGAAGCAATTGGGAGACCAACATTTTTGCCGCTCCCAAGTCATGGCTTATGCCTCGACCACTTTGCCTCCACGAGTTCTGCTTTTCTTCCACTGACTCTTGCTCCTTTCCCTTTTAAAAGCTTTTTCAATTCTGAAACTTTTAAGCTCCCATAATATTCTTTCTTGTCTTCCTTATTCATTTCAAAATTTCAAATATTGCGCTTTACCACTACACTTTACTTTCCTATGTACATACAATACTGAAAAGTAATGTTGTGTGAGTGAGACGGCCATGACAGCCGCGACGTGCCCTGGCGCCATCTGATTCAAGCTTGACTGTAAAATAGTGTAAAAGAGCCTCATAGGTGCGGGACCAGTTGGGGAAGTGAGGGGTCGTAGGGGTGGAACGAGGGTGGGACGCTACCACAAGGCAACGTGAGGGTGGGGGGAAAATTGCGGGGACATAGGGGTGAAAAAGAGAGGTAAAAGGGGTTCAGCGGGAAAAAAGAGGGGGTTAAGGATCAAGTCATAGTTAGGGATACTGGGCACTGGGGACTTCAAATCAACACCCTTAACACTGCGGTGCATGGTAGAGGGTGCCTGTCAAATATCAACTTGAGTGGTGTACGGGTAAAACTAAAAAATTATAAAAAAATAAAATAAAATAAAATAAATAAAAACAGTAACTAACTTTAAAATAATGTATTTTTTATGTAGTGTTACGCGGGGTACGTAACAGTAGCATTGCAGTTACAACTGAAATAAATTGTTTGTAAGTTTACAACCCCGATATTCTCAAGTTGATAATAAGTCAACGTTGATTCAACGCTGAATTAGCATTGATGGAATAAACGCAGCAACAACTCAATGAGATAATTTTTCTTTTGAAATAAGAATCTTTATGTTTATACTGCGATGAGCTGTACGTAAATTTTGGTAACATTACGAGGAAAATCAAAAACTTTGTTCTTACCGGAAAATTTCAAAAACTGTCGACAATAAAAACAACTATACATATACACAAATCAAATTATCTGAAATGTCTGGATACATTAAGTAATCAAAGTGACGATTTTGAAAAATTAATTTGTGCAAACATACTTTTTTTATTTACTCTTCACAATAATTACAAAGCATATATATTTTACAAGCCACGCTCAAAGTCGATCCGGTAAGGAAAAAAAAAAATTCCCAATTATGTCGTCAAAAAGCAAAATCTCGTATCACCATCACCTTCGATCGCAGTATTGAAAGTAAGAGAGAATAACTCGTAAAACCCAATTAACGTGTACCCCAGGGGAACGTGTTAAAAAAAAAGGAGGGGGGGAGAAGCCCGAAAACATTTCGATTTCACATACCCGTACTCGCCTCTGGATGTTATCTCTGATTTTCGGTCCATTATCGAGATTCTCGCGTGCAAACGACGCGTACGCGCCACTCGATCATTCAATCAGCGGCCAATCACTCACAGACCTTCGTTCTCGGCCAACCGTCTCTCTACGTCTATCTATAGGATGGACTTTTATTGCCGAGTGTGCTATTCTGATTCGCAAGATTGATACGCCCAGGTGTGCACGTTTGTACAGTAGCATTTTTACATCGTAAGCAATTTAATTTATACATTTTTTTTTTTTTTTTTTTACAACCATCGATTTTGATGTCTATATTTAAATTTCAATGTGTTCGCAATCATCCCCGATATTTACTGGAGGGTGGTATGAACAAATCAATGTACTCGGTTAAATTTTTTCTCATATTATTATCAATGTATAAAACGAATAATGCTGGTAAACAAAAGATGATAATTACCTTGTTACAATAAACAATGAATAACTTAAATTACTGACATGAGCATTTTCATTTTGAGGTACTCCATGCATTTTCATTTTTTTTTCTTCTAAAAATACGTGAGCTTAATTAAGGTACAAAAAAATATTAGATAGGAAAAATAATCTCGACTCTGATTAAAAGTATAAAACGTATTCATCAATATCTTTCAGTAGACCATCGCCATCACCTTTAATCTCTTGGCTCGCAGGATCTCCTAGAGTTTCTTTCAAATCAATTCCATCATCGCTGCTCATCTGTGTGTCAACATTTTCTAGAATTTCCTTTGATGTAATCGTATTTGCATCACTAATCTGGCAACTTAAATTCAGATCCTGGTTTTCCTTTGATTCAATAACGTCGGGATATCTGATCGGCTTACTTATGTCCACATCTTTATTTGACCTATTCATGTTTTCACAATTCAAGGCCTGGTCGACAAGCTTTTCTACACTCTTCTCTGTCATCAGTACCTTACCATCATCATTCATTTTCTTATCAACAAGTTTTTCCATGTTCTTTTCCGACTCCATGGCATTACTATCACTTGTCTGCGCACTTGCATGCTTAGCTTCACTTTCATTTGACTTGACCTTATCATTATCCATCTGATGATTAACAAGCTTCTCCACATCATCTTTTGTATCAGATTTATTACAATCACTTGTCAACTGGCTTAAATCATGATTTTCTACATTTTCTTTGGGTACAGTCACGTCATTATTATTAGCCGGATTAATTTCATTCATATCCACATCTTCTGTTGGTGTGACCTCATTACTATAAATCTGCTTAGCTGCTTGATTTACTTCATTTTCGTTTGACATAACCACATCATTATCCATCTGATGGCTAACGAGCTTCTCCACATTATCTTTGGATTCAGATCCATTACCAGCACTTGTCAACTGGCTTACATCATGCTTTTCTACATCTTTCATGGGTATGGTCACGTCATTATTATCAACCAGCTTACTTTCATTCATATCCACATCTTCTGGTGCTGTGACCCCATTATCACCAATCTGCTGGTTTGCATGCTTTTCTATAACTGCTTTGGACATGTCTTTAAGATCACTGACCAGCTGGTTCGTGTGCTTTTCCTCAACTTTCTTTGTTGTGATCTCACTATTACTAATCTGTTCCATAGCATGAACATCCACGTCTTTCTTTGCCATGTTGTCATTACTATCGATTTTTTTACTCAAAGACATTTCAACATCTTCTTGATTAAGCGAATGCATATCAACGTCTTCACTCGACTCCATCGTATTGAGCTGATTGCTTGAATTTTTTTCAATACCTTCATTGGACATGACCTCTTTATCTTCACTATTCTGCATTTCTTTCGACTGAAGCTCATTCTTATCACCGATTTGCTCGTTAACTTTCTTTTCAATTTTTGTATCGCTTGCAGCTGTAGTTTCTCCGGTTCCTGGCTTTTTGCACAAGTGCCTCGTCGCGATTTCCCTTATCAAAGAACCAGGTTTGTTCCACAGGTTTTTGATGAACAATTTGAACTTGGAACCGTTTTTTCCTCTACTGGATTTTTTAAGTTGACGAGCAATCTGTAGTAGTATTTAAAAAGTATTTGATATCAAGATTTAATTTTACTTGTAAAAATATACACAATATTATGTAAGATTCATTATTTAACAATAAAACTTGATTGTTGATGGCCTTACAAGCTATTTTTAAATAAAAAAATTGTTATTCTCCTCTGTTTCTCTCTCCTTCTGCCATACCTAGAGATTTGCTTCGCAGAAAGCCTCTCCTTTTTGTTACTCCAAAAATTCCATACTCTTTCAAGTCCAAGGCAATGTCTTTTTTTATACTATGCAGTTTTCACTTTTTATCTAGTATTTGATTGCATATCATCAACTAAATACACTTGGTCTTTGAATGTATTCAAGTGTAACAATTAAAAAGCTTTTTTTTTTTTTTTTAACACACAGCAACAATGAATTATAGGTTATTAAAAAGAGAAAAAGTGTACCTAGTAAGTTTAAATTGAGTAAAATGTACCTACAATTGTCACTCTGCAAATCAGTGGATAGGAACAATAAAAGACTTGACAGCCAGGTGGTGATGCGAGAGAGAAAGAGAAGAGAGTTCAACGAATGCGATAAGCAATGACGGTTGTAAAAGATACAAAAAAAATGGGGATGAAAGTACCTTGGGAATTAGGGAATCCTTTGACCTCTTGTCCAAATCGACATCTTCGATGCTTTCGACGTTGCTCAAAATTACGTCGATCACGATTTTTTCAGTTTTTGTCAACTTTTTCTCGACATTCATGTCGTCGTCCACCGCATTTGGTCTCTCACTCGCAGTTGAAGATATGATGATTCTTAAGTACAGGCAAGTTCAATCGAAACACTAGATTGTCAAAACGGATTTTTGTTAAAGGACACACATACAATTGTGATTAAAGTACTGAAAATAAAAAAAAAGAACCTCTAAAGTAGATTTTACCTGAAGGTAACCTCAACCAAATAAATAACGTGAGTGTCGATAATCAAAAACGTGTAGTTTTTAGAGTTTTTCTTGACCTCGATCGTGCGTGTGCACGTCTTATCACCTCCGCTCTTGTCGTCACACTCGTGACTCGTCACATCTGCGTACGCCAATCAAAACCATAGATCCGCAGGATTACCAATGGCGAGAGAAAAATTCCGCGAAACTTTATCGGCCATCCACATAATTACAATTAAATATAAACGTACACGGGATAGTATTGAAAAATGATTTATTTAACAGTGCAGATAAAAATCTAAGTTTTTTTTTTATTTTCATTCGAACTTTACATTTCAAAAACGTTCTATTCGTGTCATTTCCCCCTCCGCCCCTTAACTGCCGCCGGTAACAAACGAGCGGTTGGTTCGATCGCCATTGAGCCATTCTCGTGGTATACCTATATACATGCGATGACGCGCTCGAGTTTTCTCGGATTCGGAAAATCTGCGTGTACGTTTGTGTGTTGGCCATCCAAACTGAGGATTTGAGGAAAGTTAAAAACATTCCGTTTTTACTTACCAAAGTATATGTTTAATTGAACTATTTTAGTTTGGAAGCGCTGCATAAAAAACGCGCGCGCTCGCGTAACAACATTAACAACCATGTAAGGATGCATATAAGTGTATCCACGCGCAGAAAGTTTGTACTAGGAACTCGTTATACCTATATACCTACGTGTAAAGCACACATCTTTTTTTGCAAGTAAGATTCGCTGATCGTTTAAAAAACTCTCGAACGAATCTAACCTCAATACCGGGTGTCTAAAAACATAAAGCGTGTCTGTTCGTTATTTTATTCTCAGTATAGCTCGTGATTCGTGATGGGAAATCGTTAAGTTCTATACGGTGTTGTCAATACTGGGAAGCTTTCACGGCCGTAGGCGACGTCCACCGGTGCAGAGATAGAAAGCCGGCCAGAGATAACGGCATTGAACTACTTGGGAAGAGAGACGTATTTTCCATGGTGCGAGTCTCGGGTTGATTAAACCTCCATCCCCCCTTTGCGTTCGTTCATGGTGATTGCCTTGGATCTTATGCTCATGTCCTAGCCGTGCGTTTTGCTAGAGTGGTCCAGGAATTTATAAAAAGTAAACACTCGGAGAGAATGAGTTGTTGTTGATGATACCTGCTAGAAATTTGGCCACTCCAGTGAACTAGTCGTATGTTTATCAGTATCTTTACATACAATATGATTAAAAATGGTTAGTTTTAAGCTAATCATTGTGTCTGTGATTTCAAATTTCAGTAATGGATCAATCAGGTCCACCGTAGAAACCAAAATCTGGAATTGCTTGAGAAACTAGATTTCCTCCCAATCTAAAGTCTACAATGATAAGGTAGTATAACGCTGTGTAATAATATTTTTTTAGAACATTCCAAACAATATAAAATATGAAATATCGTATTTCAGAGTTTTGTGCAGTGATAGAAAATAGATACCAGAGATTAGATCTCTGTAGATACTGGAATAGTTAAAAAAGTAGGTAGGATGACAATATACGTTTTTATTTTATAATAAAACTAGAAGTGGTAAGCAGAAAAATGAGCTGTAAAATGATACACAAGGGGAATACCAGGTAAGGTTTTATGAGAAAATAAAGATTCCATGAAACTGATGAATATAAGTGTCCATATTGAATGATGTATGTAAATTTTCAGGTACAGAAAAATATGCAGCTCAAAGGAATTGAGACAAAGAGAGTTTGAATGATTATTACTAATAATATTGAACTTTAGAATTCCAATAGAAGCAAAAGGTAGGACATTTAAATTATATAATACAAAAAAATGTTTATGATTTTAAATACCAATATAAAACCTTGGAAGTAGCCGAACGCTTCAACAAATAGCATAAAGCTTTTTCAGGCTTACATATCAGTAAACCGATAAGGCAGGATCATAACTCTTGCATTATCTTGTCTAATAACTACAAATTTTAATAAGCCCAGCGTACATCAGCCTTGGTAAAAGCTCAACACAACGACCCATTAATATAAGCTTCGGCCGTAATACGCTCATTTCTTCATGGAAAGAAAAATAGGACAGCAGGATCGTTAAATTAATACGAAAGGAGGCGCGCGCAGCAACAAAAAAGAGTATAAAACGTGTGTCCGCTTGCATCTCATTACACGTCACTTGGCTGCGACATTCCGCTGCAAATTGCAAAACACAACAAAAAGTCACACAGAAGCCAAGAAGACCACGGATGACACGTGAACATTTCTCATTTTTCTCCCCGAACCCCAACCATTCCCCCCCCCCCACGGTTCTCTACACCCTTTGTTTTTTTTCTTTCCACACCCTCCCACCGTACACGTATTATTAGATCTCGCTGCAGCTTTATCTCCATTATCAAGACGAGCAGCAGCAGCAGCGACGACGACACCATTATTACGATCGCCGGCCTATCTTTCTCACGTTGGCCGCCGCTGTCAGTTTTAATTACGAGCAGCCATGTATCATAAAAGTTTCTCTCGTCCCATCATCCCCATATTATACACACACACACACACACACACACACACATATGTATACAT